GATATGGTGTTGGAGAAGAGTGCTAAAAATTTCATGGACGGAAAAGATAAAAAATGATGAGGTTTTCCGGAGAATGAATATCTAAAATTCAATATGGAATACGCTAATATTGAGGAGGAAAACATGGATCGGACACGTAATAAGGAATAGTTCTTAGATAACCACAATAATAGAGAGAAAATTCGAAGAAAACCTGGAAGAGAAAGGCCCAGAACTCCATTTCTGAAGCAGGTGATGGAAGATACCGGAAAAGGAACATACTGAGAGACGAAGAGGATTATAAGTGACAGAAATAAGTGGAGAAAAACACCATTAATCATTTAACCAATCTTCGGATTAATAGAAAAAAAAAAATGTATAAATACGTATTGGCATAGTAGTTTTGGTGACTCTGTGAAAATATTTTTTAAGAAAACTTACTTATATTTATTGAAAAAATTCATTAAAACTTTCATCCTTATATTTACTACTTAAATTTAGAGCAACAAACTTCAAACAGAATACTGAGGTAAGTAATTATTTCCATATTCTCGTAATAGAATATTAAATATAATAGGTAAACACAAATAACAAAAATCTCGCGCGAATGGTAGCTGTCGGTTAATCAATAACAAACATAATATGGATATTAATATATTTTATGTATGATGTATGTGTCACGATGATGACCGTATATTAAACACACAGAGAACGATTTATTCACACATTCATCGACAGAAACCGTACCATGCTCGTGTTATATGTCTTACGCACTAATAGCCTGCCTATCTATAAGCCATAAAACTCCCTTTACATAATACAATTTACTCGATAACCGTTTTTTCTAACTTTTTCCATTCTCATTTTTTTTATTCCTCATTTAACTGCTCTCGTGGAGCGAGTGGAACGAAGAATCTTATGGCTTTACAAAGATGTTCATTTATTAATTTTTTTCTCTGTGCGCAACTTTTCTACCAAAAGACTTGATCTGATGTTTACGTGTAGAACCTTTTCTGAAAAGAAATCGGCGTAGAGAGGTACTTTGGGTAATTTATTGAATTTCATCATCGTTTTTTTGTCCACTAAAATTTTATTATCAGCCATCATAAAACATAAGTTCCTTAAACGTTTACAATATAGATTTCGTTTATATTCGTAAACAAATCATTATTAATATTACTTGTATTACTAATTTTAGATTCTGAATGAAGCGAGGAATGTATTGATTTTACAATGATGTTTATGTTTTTTTATTTTTTTATGTAAACACTTTTTCTACTATGAAGTATACCCCGGTTATCAAGTATAGCACCTTTTCTGAAAGGAAAATTGAAAGATTAAAAATAAGGTTGAAATTGGCAACCGTTTTTATTTATTTATTGTTATTATAAAGTCTTGATTATTTTATCTTTTTTCAAAAATCATTGTTGTCATGGAAATCTAAATTGTATTATATAATATATACAGTGGTTCATGCTTAGATCACATATAATGGATAGAGCCACAGTCTATAGATTACATATAATATCGATGATGTACATGTTAAGTGACACGTCACCAGGTGAGTACTCTTTAGTGTGAATTCACGTTGGTGACTAATCACATATTTATCTTAAATTATCGGCATATATATTTTGTTTTTACAGTCTTCATATCATATTGATATCCATATACTTATATCAAGCCTTTTCATTACATTTTTAATAAAATAAACACAAATAAATTAACAAAGTTGTATAGA